AATTCATAACTATTTTATTAAAAACATATTAAGTTTTAAATTCAGTTTTGTAACCTAACATGAAATTGTTGATCTCATTGCTAGAATTTAACATTACGAACAAAATCCATGTGTGTTATGGGGAAAACTAAATGTGTAAGGCAGCAAGTTAGCATTTTTATTCTGCCTAAATTTTTCAACTCTTTGAAGATATTCTTTCAAATGATTTAGGCTCCTGTCCTTAAACATGGAGATATGCACAGCAGGATGTTGCTTCTAATACTGCTGTCACAATGCATTTCAGGGTCGGCCGGATTTGGAGCCTGGACACTTTTCAACAAGTCTCCAGGAGGCAGAAGTAACACAAAGTCAGGAAGCTCAGCCGTGGCCAAATATGCCTTTGGTGGCTGAGTTGGGTTGTATTTTTCTCTGGTTTAGTTTGTGTCATGTGTAGCCTCTGAAGTCTGTGTTGGGTTACATTGTACAACAGTGTTTCTCATTTGCCTTTATCGGATCCAAATAGTCAGAATCACTTAGCAAAGAGGGGGCCAGGGTTTTTGGTTGCCAGGAAAGGGATCGAATATCCACTTAATTACATTGCAAATCATTACTGAAACTAGAGAGAGAATTCTATTGCCACTAATATTTGACATCCATTCTGTCTATGGATGCAGGGCGTAACTCCGTTCCATCCGTCATGCTGTCCCACGTCCATGAATATTACACTTTTATAAGATCAAATAAAAATGGTTTCTTCCGGCCAGCTCAGTAGCATGATAAGATTGAGGAGCTCATTTCTTGCAAAGTCCATTATTCATGGCAGACGTCACTATGTGGGTAATTCCCACCTGCTGAGCAGCTGCAGTTCGGGCCACAAAGTACAAAGTTCACCTAAGCATTTTACAGTGAATTCTGGATCCACTATTGCTCATAAAACCAACCTGGGAGCCTTAAAGGAACAGGAGCCTGGGGCCCTCCTATGCATTGTTCCCCTGCACCTGTCACCCCTGTATCAAGTCTCTCCTGCCTGGCACTCTTCACGAGCTGCAGTGAATAATTCTGGGTGTCCACCAGCAACTATCAAGATGTGATTTCTGCCCAGCCAGCACACGGTTCCAGCTTCCGTCTTGGGAAGCTTATGATCCTATGTCTTCATGTAGGTTGGAAGTCCAGTTTATACGGAAGTTTGCCATTCCTCAGTTTTGTAAAAACACTAATCCATATTATTTACTGTGTGGTTTAAAAAAAACACACACCTTGGGGCGCCTGGGTGGCTCAGTCGGTTAAGTGGCTGACTTCGGCTCAGGTCATGATCTCGCAGTCCATGAGTTCGAGCCCCGCGTCGGGCTCTGTGCTGACAGCTCAGAGCCTGGAGCCTGTTTCAGATTCTGCGTCTCCCTCTCTCTCTCTGACCCTCCCCCATTCATGCTCTGTCTCTCTCTGTCTCAAAAAATAAATAAACGTTAAAAAAATTAAAAAAAACAACACACACACCCCTTGTTATATATTATAATGCGGTATTTCATGTTCCAAAAAACCAAGCTCTCGGAAAGTCATTGTTTTAGGTATCAAACATAAACTGTATAGGCTATTCGATGTTTGTTTCTTGGGTATCTCTGTGACTTCTAAATATCACAGAATTGTAAACTGAGAAGATTGCATGTGGAATCTATTTCTTGCCACCCATTTTATAGCTTTGTTAGGGCAGCTGAATAGTTGCTAAGTGGTCTGATCTAGGCTGGGTGGGGAGCTTTTTTGGCGGCTGAGAGGAAAAGGTACACAGATGCCTGTTTCCTTTTTTGATGGGGGAAGGAAGGTCCATATGTGACATGTAAATGGACCCAGAAAAATCTATTATAATTACCATTGACAAGGCACAGAGTGTATTAAATCCTTGTCCCCTTTCCTGACTAGGGACTGCCTAGATAGCGCTTTAGTGATTAGATGTCCTAAATCATGTATAGGTCCCATCTAGACTTCAGACCCTTCTGTACATGCGGGACACTTGACCCCATTTCCATAGAACACAGCCTTGATCTTGCACCTCTATCCCAGTACTGTTTGCCAATAGTCCCAAACATCCTTCTGTTTCCATCTTGTCCTGAAATCTGTCTTCTGTAAGTTCCCTAGTGGCCCTTATCATCATGTCTTTCTTTTGCCTAGAACCTTCCGTAGCTGCCCCCTGCTGGCAGGGTGAATGTTAAGCTTCCTAAAATGGCTCACGAGGTTCCTGCCTGCTTCTTCAGCTATTCAATGCTCACCACTCCCCATTTACATGTTCTACCCTTAGAATCCCGGCACTCTGAGCTTCCTCCACAAAAACTGTGGAAATAGCTACATGTCCTTGTGAAAGGTATTTTTGCCTGGTAAGCTCCTCACACGCTTCATGTTTCATCCCTCCCTTCCGAAGTTCACTGTAGGAAGCATCTATCCTTGAAGCTCTCACCCATCCTCAGAATACGAATGAAACCCCTCGATGGAGCTCACACGGTGACTATATGACTGTATGAGAGAATGACCGTTCACTGTTGGAAGACACAGTTTGAATCAGTCCGCAGATACAGGTGATCCACTTGACAATAACTTCTTAAGCCCTTGTGCCTTCAGTGCCAACGCGTAAGATCACAATGTTGCAGGCTGGGTTTCATTACTACCAGCGTTCTATTAGACCCACTGTTCCATCAGATGAGCAAAAGAATCATCTTCAAAAGTTCCTCTGGGAAGGGATATACAAATCAAATGTAAAGGTGCTTTAATATTTGCAATGTATTCACTTTTGCTATAGTTGTTTACATAACTTGTGAGGTTTTGTGTTTGTTTGTTTGTTTGTTTGTTCTTGGTCTAATTCTTCACTTTATCCCAGAATCCTTCAAAGTCTCATTAATATTCGGTCAGAATGATCCTGCCTATGGTAAGAAAAATATGGATGACTTCTGTGGTGTTCAGCAACAGCCTATGTTATACTTGGGGAGGGGTGGAGGTTGGCTGACCCTCTCTGTAAAGGGCCAGATAATAAATATTTTAGGCTTTGTGGGTCATATGGTTTCTGTCACAACTATTCAACTCTGCATTTATAGCAGGAATGCAGCCACAGACAAGAAGCAAGCAAATCAGCGTGACTACATTATAATAAAACTTTATTTATAAAAACAGACAAGCTAGGACCGCAGTTTGCTGACTCCCTGGGTCATCTGGAGACTTATTTCTGTAGAGGAAGATTTAGTCAGGTTCTGTTCAGGTACAGAAACATTTTCCAAGTGGCTTGTTCCCTGAGAATATCTTTCTAATTATACATGATTCTTAGGTAAATACTTTGAAGGATATTTGTACCATATCCTATTATGCAATTTTATCAGAAACAGAAGCTGAGGGAATAAGATTATATAAAAATTCATTTGCCTTAATAACAACCCTCACAGCTCAGCATATCAGGAATTGCATCTCAAGTGAACCAGAAATTTCTATAGGCTGCCCTAGCACTCAATAATGAGAGCTATAAAAAGTGTTCATGCTCCTCACCAGCACAATAATTTTTAGGAGATATCCCACAGTAATGACTCCAAGGGAACGAATCCCTTGTGTGTGCAATGATATTTAGAACAGAAATATTCATTAACATTGAAATTCTAAAGTAACTCAGTTGGAAATGGAACCATAGCATGGAGGAATTCTGTAGAACTTTTTTTTTTTTTTAATGTGGCAACTGAAGTGTATTGAACCTTGAAAATCTGTGTATTAAAGTTACAAAGTGAGGGGTGCCTAGGTGGCTCAGTTGGTTGAGTGTCCAACTTTGGCTCAGGTTATGATCTCCCTGTTCGTGAGTTCGAGCCCCCCGTTGGGGGCTGTCAGAGCCTGGAGCCTGCTTCAGATTCTGTGTCTCCCTCTCTGTCTGCCCCTCCCCTGCTCACACTCTGTCTCTCTCAAAATAAATAAACATTAAAAAAAATTTTTTTTAATAAAATAAAATTAGAAAGTCGGATGGAAAGAGTATGTCTACGTGATATCAAGCATAAAAATCAATATACATGAATTCTGTCATTCAGCATTTAATAAATCTTTATTGAATAAGAGCCTACTCTGATCAAGTCTCTGTTCTAGCACTAGGAAGACAGTAATGAATAAAATAGACCAAAATTGCTGCCCTCATGGAGCCAATATTCTTATGGGAGGGAAACAGATATTGAAGATCGAAGGAATTTTAACAAATGATATATTTGGAAATTTAATATGAGATTTCCCACCCCATCCCCCATAAAACTGTTTATGTAAAGATGTTTTTTCCCCCTTTATTTAGCATGTTTCCATTTTTAGGAATAAGAATTTCTCTGATCATTTCATTCAACCAGTGTTCATAGAATTCTTACTATGTGCCAAACACTCTTCCAGGCACATGGAACGTAGCGCAAGCAAAATATACAAACACACCTATTCTCGTGGAGCTGCGGTCCGGTGAGAGAGACTGAATATAAGACAAATAAGTAAAATACGTGTAAGGTTAGATGGTGACTAAGGAGCAGAGATAAGAAAGCAGGATAGGAATGTTAGGAGAAGGCAAACCTTTAGATCAAGTGGTCAGGAAGGACTCCTTGTAAAAAGGACTTCTGAGTAAAACGTTAAAGAAAATGTGCTAACAGTGTGACAGTAGGGGTAGGGGAGGGGAGCTCATTCTAGATGGGGATGAGCAAGTGCAAAGGTCCTGAGGTGAGAATGTGTCTGACATATTCAAGGAATATTAGAGTCCAGCGGCTAGAGAGTGTAGTGAGTGAAGGAAAGAATAGTCGGAAATGGATCAAAGGGAAACAGAAGACCAAATCACATCTGGCCTTTTAAGTCACCAGAAGGCTATTGGCTTTTATTCTGAATAATGAAAAGATAATTGGAGAGGGTCACCTGGGTGACTCAGTCGGTTGAACGTCCAGCTCTTGATTTCAACTCAGGTCGTGATCTCACAGTTTGTGAGTTCAAGTCCTACATCAGGGTCTGTGCTGACAGTGAGGAGCCTGCTTGGGATTCTCTCTCTCTCTCTCTCTCTGCCCATCCCCAGCTCTCACTGTCTCTCAAAATACATAAATAATCTTAAAAACATTTTTTAAAAGATACTGGAGAGTTTTGAGCCAAGGGGAGATGATTATGTTTGCACCAAAATAATACCTACTGTTACAACAGACTACAGAATCAGGGAGGCTTTTAGGAGACTGTTGCAGTAATCCAGGGATGAGAGGATGGCTTGGACCAGTAGGTTAGGTAGGGTAAGGATCTTAGGCTGTGGTGGCAGGGGAGAGGAGAGAAGAGTGTCAGGAACCATTATTCCCACGAGCCCAGCTGCCTCACAGGAAAAGTAACTCGGGAGCAGCGACCATTCCTGAATGGTGACTATACCGCTGGTGGGAAACACAATGTCAGGCACATACTAGGTGCTTAATGTAGGCTGCTTAAATGTTGCAAAACCAAAAAGAAATGTGAAGCCAAATCTCTATTTTATGGCTGTCTCCTGTCAACCAACAGTCTTCTCACCACTTTCCCCTCATTTTCCCTTCTTTGGTGATTTATTTGTGAATTAGCCCCTCCAGCATTTGTCGATGTCCCAAGAAGACTTCCATTTTCAATGACCTGCATTAAGGTAAAACCACAGAACAGTAAGGATTCCATTGAGCCATACCTATCTCATACCTATGTGAGCTGAATGAATATTATTGCCTTTTACTGTCCAAGGGCATGAGTATAACCAAATGTAACTTTTTTTTAGGGAACAACTCAACTCTTTATTGAAGACCTATAACATTTTTTACGAGAACCAGAAAAACCTGCATATTTTATGTGGACAGGTAAGCCCATGAAACTAATGCAAAATACGGTTTAATTCACAGAAAGAAATTCCATAGAGGTTATATAAAGGAATCAGGATGGGTTGGAGTCTATAATCTAGCAGCACAAGTGGTCTGGAAAAACAGGTGAATCTTTGACTGGATCATGACTTTCGTATTTAGACTCTATCACCAAATCCCAGTCCTGGGACATGTGACCTTTTAAGCAGCTTTGGGGACAGGAAAAGCATTTAAAAATCATTTTAGGGGCGCCTGGGTGGCGCAGTCGGTTAAGCGTCCGACTTCAGCCAGGTCACGATCTCGCGGTCCGTGAGTTCGAGCCCCGCGTCGGGCTCTGGGCTGATGGCTCAGAGCCTGGAGCCTGTTTCCGATTCTGTGTCTCCCTCTCTCTCTGCCCCTCCCCCGTTCATGCTCTGTCTCTCTCTGTCCCAAAAATAAATAAACGTTGAAAAAAAAATTTTTTTTAAATCATTTTAATGACCTGTTTACTTTCTAGTTTTAAAACAGTGTATGAATAGATTTTAAACAACAGTTCCACTAGAAAGCTATTATAATACTTTCTTGCAAATGTGCCAGAACAGATAGAGAAGGTGGTATTATCCCGTGGTGACATCATTTGTAATGGAGAGAGTATCTTCAGTCCATACCCATGGGGGAATGCTCGAATAAATAGGACACAGGCTGTAACATAGTTTGATTTGGTTGTTAAGATGAATCAGATTCCAATGACTGTGTACTATGGTATAATAACAAATTTTAAAATGTGAAAGAAACACTTCAGAAAAGTCCTGAATCTAGAAAGTATTTTTAGGAGTGCAAACTGGCCTTAGACTTTTCCTTTCTTCCTTTTCTTCTCCTCCTTTGAATGCTTCGTTCTCCACAGATCTCTCCACTTAGCCTTGCATTCTAATGGGGCTCGCTTCACATCGTTACAGTATCTTCCTGGCCGTAAGGAACATTGGAATTTTGTACCTCCTATTCAAATCTTCACATTTGATGGTACAACATTGAGTTTAGGCCACTGTGACTTGGCTTAAAATTGCAGTTGAACACAGAGAAACTTACTAGCCACTCTGGCCTTTACTAGTGAAGTTAAATGATTTAGTTTGATTGAATATTTCAGTTACCTTCCCATACGTAATAGAAAAAGGAAATAACTAATCTCTTTACAAAGAAATGGGCCTAATTTTTAATTATTTCAATATCATCCTATATCCTAGATCTCTGATCTATATCATTGTGAAGATAATTTAAGAAAAAATCCAAACTTTAAAAAAATGACTATTTATATTTCAGTTCAAGTTTCTACAAAGTTCACGATGTGAAGAAGTTTGTTTCCTTGAGGAAAATGTTCGAATTTTGATGTTATGAACATATAATGTGAGGCATGTTCTTCCCAATTCTGCAAATCAGTGTTCAATTTACCATACAAAAGTCATTTAATTTTTTTTAATTACGTGAAGTAAAGTCCACAGTAAGACTGTCAGATTGCTTAACCTTTCCAGCTTTACTCACTGGTCAATAAAGTGAGAGTCCAGAATTCTCAAAGCATTCTGACTGAATTTCAATAATAGACACCATTAAAGGGGGCAATATGGAGGACGACATGTAGCTTTCTTAGTCTCTGGTTAATTAAGCAAATATTGATTGCCTACCATGTGCCAGACACTGTTGTAAAAGCTGCAGATAAAGCAATGAAGAAATGGGACATAATATCCTGCCTCGATGCTTCTTACACTAGAGCACACCGACAAGAAACGAAATATGTAGTATATCAAATGGTAATAAGGGCCAGGGACAACAGCAAAGCCGGGACGAGAGCTCAGGGATCTAAGTGGGGAAGGGGAAGAGGAGCGTTTGACCAGAGACTGCGAAAGATGTGAAGAAACAAACCTTGCAGAAGCCTCTGGGACGCACATTCGGGCAGAGACAGCAGCCCCACCAAGGGGCCGGAGCTGAGCTAGTGTCGTTGAAGTACAGCAGGGAAGCCAGTGGAGCAGGAAGCTTGTGGGAATGGGGAATTAGTAGACGATGCAGCTAGAGAGATAACTGCAGAGGAAAGCACCAGAGCGTCTGGGTCTTTAGATCATTGTGAAGACCGGAGCGTGTACTTGGAATGAGGTGGAAAGCCACTGGGGAGTTTTGGGCAGAACAGTGACATTATCTGAAAGGATTCACTTTACAAGAATCCCTCTAGCTATGGGGGAGCTTGGGCCTTTCATATGAAAGGCCAAGAGAAGAATGAGAAAGAAAACTCCTGCAGTAATCCAGGCAAACAATGAAATGGCATGGACCAGAACCACGGTAGTGGATACAGTGAGTATAGTAGTCACGTTAGGGATGTATTTTCAAGGTGGAGCTCATAAGATTTGCTACTGCATCGGATGTTGAGTACAAAAGAAAGATTAAAGGTGACTCTAAAATTCCTGGCCTGCGCAACTGGAAGGATAAGGCTGCTATTTACCCAGATGGGAACAGAATGACTTGGAGAGGAAAATATTCATGGGAGAAAGATCAAGAGTTAATTAGGAGCATCTTAAGTTTGATGTCAGGAAGGCAGTCAGACGATTGGAGTTTAGGGGGAAGGTTTGGCTAGAAATATAAAGTTGGAAGCTATTAGTTTAGAGATGGCATATAAGGATCTTAGAGACTGCCAAGGATACGGGTAGATCTAGAAGAGAAGAAGCCTAAGGATTTAGACAATGAGATTAAATTAGTGTAAACAAGCCTTCGGTGACATATTTAGTTCATCTATAAAGAGATGCTTTGTGAAATTAAAAAAAAATATTCTTGTATTCCTGGGACACCTGGGTGGCTCAGTTGGTTGAGCATCTGACTCTTGATTTTAGTTCCGGTCATGATCTCACAGTTGTGAGATCAAGCCCCACATCGGGCTGGGCGCTGTGCATGGAGCCTGCTTAAGATTCTCTCTTTCCTTCTGCCCCTCCCCTGCTCGTGGGCTCATGTGAACTCTTCCTCTCTGTCTCAAAAAGAAATATTCTGATACTCCTTACATGAGAAAACCTAACGTTATCTGATAACAGTTGGAGTGTTTCTTCTTGCAAGCAAGAATGCGATCATCTCAGAAGAGCAGTTATTCTGTGAGTTTTTGATGTAGGGGATCAGTTGAAGTATAATTAAACAAAGAAGGGATGCTATACATCGGTAACTAAAAGTAGGACCCGCATCATGTGCTGCCATTTCAAAGACTAAATTATGTTTGGTTGTTCAAAACAACTGATGGGTATCCTGACCTCTCAGTAATCTGAAATGTGAACTCAAAAGCGGGAGAAAGAGCATAACTTTGTTTCAGGAGTGACTCTGAAGTTAGTTTATCAGCCCAAGAAATAAAAAGCAACAACATTTATGAAGCGCTTATTAAATATCAGGTCCTATGAGTTAGGGACTATAATGATGTCCATTCTTCAGAAGCAGCAGGCTTAACTGTGTTCAGCATCTTGTCTAAGGTCACCCAGTGAGGAAGTGACAGAGCCCAGGTTCAAACACAGGTCTATCCAGTTCCAGAGTCTGGAGTGTTCATTACACTCTCCAATAACAAGTCCTTTACATTTTCTGATAATTGATTTTTCATAAGAACAGTAGTTATTGGATGTTATAGTAATTATTGGATGGTTGGAATGTGATTTTTCTTGGTTTCTGTATTTTTTGAAACCATTTTTTATGTTATCATTTCTGTAATGATAACATTATTTTAATAGCAGAAAGACTTTTACATATACAAGCGAAAAATAGATTAGAAAATATATTCTATTCGACTATGCTTTGGCATTAATATTTACACCCACAGAAAAAGTAAGTGTTCACAGTCCGTGTTTGCATGGAATTTCCTTCTTTTGTTACATTTCCAACTTAAAAATTAGTCAAATGCTATTGATTTTTTCAAATATGTAATTTCTGTTATACATTTTACACTGTTTTTCATACATTTCTAACTCATTCTGCATAATAATTTCGTGAGTTAAAAATTTCCTGTTCAGAAATGAGCAAATAGCCACTAAATCTCTGAAGAGCTATTCTTCTGATTTCTAGTTTAGTATAGTTTTCAATTCTGCTTTAATTTTACGTTGAATAGAATTAACCTTCTACCTCATTGAAGAATCCTCGAGTTCAGAAAGCATTTTAACATGCTCTGCCCTCTGGTGGGCATATCATTACCATTATGACTTTACTGGTTAGAGCTGCTTTCAAAAATAAAAGAATGTTTCCAAAATTGAATTATTTTGAGGATAAATTGAAAAGCCAAACAACCCTATCGGGGAATTTCTTTTTATCTATTAAAATGGCTTATAGACTCGATCTCTCCATTTTCAGTTAAAAGATTAACCTTCTATAAATAACACAAAAACAATGTTTGAGATGATTGGTTTCTTCTGCAGACAGAAGATGGCAAACTAATTGTTGAAGGAATGTTGGACATTTTCTGGGGAGTAAAACAGCCTATACAGCTAAAAATACAAGATGAGAAACAAATCCCTTCTTTTACTAGGTTGAAATCACCAGATGTCTTTCCCAAAAGGTAAGCTATCTTTCACTTTTTTTTTTAATGTTTATTTATTTTTGAGAGAGAGAGAAAGAGAGAGACAGAGTACAAACTTTGGGGGGGGGGGGGTTGCGCAGAGAGAAAGGGAGGCACACAATCCGAAGCAGGCTCCAGGCTCTGAGCTGTCAGCACAGAGCCCGACGAGGAACTCAAACTCACAAACAGCGAGATCATGACCTAAGCTGAAGTCAGACGCTTAACCGACGTAGCCACCCAGGCACCCCTATCTTTCACATTTTAACTCCTTAGAAGATCATCCTCATATTGACTTACATTTATTGTGTGCACTCTTAAAGATGGGAGCTCTAAAGCTTCTAACACTATCTCATTTAATCCCCAGCAATTCTGTGAAGTAGGTGTTCAGAACCCAGAACTCTAAGGGTTTAGGTAATTTGTGCAAGATGTCCAATTACCATGTAGCAGGACTGGGCTGGACCTCAGGTCTACCTCTCTGCTGTGTTGTTTCTCTCCTGGAAGATTGCATTCCTTCGTTAGAAAAGACAAATTTCATTAGCCCGTTAGCCTGGCCTTGTCACCAAAAGGGGAGATAAAATTTAAATTTCTCTTTTCCTTGGAACAGAGGGCTCTTCCTGCTTTCTAGAAAGGAGATTTAATTATGCTCCACCTGATTGTCCTGATCTTGTTCAACAGGGCACAACAAAGTGCAGTTGGAGCTCAGTAACAATGTGAGACAGTTCTCTGTGTGGGTTTATGCAACTGTACCTTGAATACATTAAGTTGGGCTGATTTTTTTCATTATCCTTTGCAATTTTTAGAAAAATAAATACTCTGAGAAGGACTTGTGCATGTAATTTTTTTTTCTTTTTTTCTTCCTTCGTCCCCACTTTCCCTCCTTTTTAATCCTTAACTTTCTGACTCCTCCCCCTGTTGTGCGTCTGTGGGAGGACCAAGACTTCTCTCCCATCCTGCCATCTATAACTGGATGGGCTGGGATTCTAGGAAGAGAGGATGGAAAGAGAGCTGCCAGGACCTTTTCCTCAATCTGATCTTAGGCTATAAGCAAGGAAAACCAAGGATCGCCTTGAGGGAAGCCCCACTTTTTCTCTGGACGCCCCGCTATGATTTGCACCTTGCCAATGTTCTCAAACATGATCCAGCAGTTCTGAACATTTCCTAATTCCCTACACATGCCATGCAGTCTCTTACTTTCCTGACTCCTGGAAAGTCTACTTGCATTTCAACATCGTTTGCCTGATTCCCCTCTCTCAGTCCTAGGAGACTCTGGTCAGGTAACACATTCTCCAGAAAGCCTTTTTCTGACCCTTCAGTCTCTCCTAGGTGCACTGGCAGTTTTTCAAAACACGCCGTTAATGTGTTTTTATGCACCCACCTCGTGCTCTGGCCTGTGAGCTTTTTCAGGGTATGGAGCATGCCTTATTCGTCTGTTATTTGGGGTGCGTAGCAGTGTGCCTGGAATGAAGAGAGTCGAAATACAAAATTGAATAAAGCCCCCATGATCCTGGTAGCTACATCACCTCTGCTCTGTTGTGAAAACTGCCTCTGTCTACCACTTCTGACTAGTGTCCCATCCAGGCTGAGGGCTGCCCATGGGCGAAGGGTCCAGCATTTGTGGAAGAGCGGAAGGGGGACCACAGACTTGGGCAGCCTAATGAAGCCCTGCAACCCTCCCCTTCAGGTCCTTAGGTGACCGATGGGGCTGATGATTCTAAGTGACTAGGAGCATCCTTTAAAAGGAGAAATTACCCCTGGGCTCTGCTTTTAGATAACTGCACAAGAAATGAATTTGGCAAAATTAGCTATCATTAGTCATATTGCCGAAAAACTCATTACAAAGTTCTCTGAGCAGCCGGCTGCTTTTGATGCAATTTAATTATTTGAGTCATGAAAACTTAATAAGTATGGCACATTAAGGGAAGATGTCAAGGAGATACAGTAAGGTACTCGTATTACCACATTGTCTTTTTTTTTTTTAAATAGCTACCCCCAAGATATTTTTAATTTTTTCAAATTAAAATTCAAAACACTTGTTCCTAAAAATCCTCACTGTGGGGAAAAGTTTCAAGAGACCAGGTAGACAAAGTGATATTGATGCCTGTCCATACACTGTGGCAGATTAAAAGTTAATATTTTCACGATGTGCCTTCCATGGACACCAACTGTGGTTTTCATTGTTTATCAGCACATTGCTGTGAACCAAAGAGGAATTACTTCCCTTAGTTTAAAGTTGAGAAAGAATTCCCTAGAAAACTTTGCTTGCCCTTTACCACAGTAATGAAACTTACCAGGAGAACATATGAAGTGAAGGGCACACTTGTGGTGTATCAGATCTTTCTGGAGGTTGAGAATTATCAGAAAGAGATCCTACTCCTCTCACACTCAAAAGCAAGATTAGATTGTCACGATTCATTAGCCAAGAATCCTCCGTGGGAAGCAGTTGAACACTCAGCGGGAAGGTGCATATAATTTGGAGTGGCTGTTCCTTGGCCTCTGTTCCCTAGTGGGGTGCAAAACCACCTAAGGTCCTGTCTTTGTTTCAGTCTGGTCCTAGACACCTTCACTCTGGTTGCCATCCTTAAGGGTAGCATTCATTTAAATTCTGAGCCTTGAATGAAATCATATAAAGAAAGGGACTAGGGGCACCTGGGTGGCCTAGTAGCTTAAGTGTCCAGCTCTTGATTTTGGTGTATGGTGAGATTGAGCCCTGCATCAGGCTCTGCACTGACAGTGTGGAGCCTGCCTGGGATTCTCTCTCTCTCTTTCTCTCTCTGCCCCTCCCATGTGTGCACATGTGGTTGCTCTCTCTCAAAATAAATAAACATTAAAAAAATAAAATAAAAGGAACTATTCCCTCACTCTGTAACCCTCCTCAACTCTCCTTTCTCATACTGGGTTTCTGTGTGCAGAACTTTTTAATTTTTTTTTTTTTAAGTTTTACTTATTTATTTTGAGAGAGAGAGAGAGAGGGAGAGAGTCCCAGGCAGGCTCCACAGAGTGCGGAGCCTGACTTGGGGCTTGAACTCATAAATGGTGAGATCAAGACCAGAGCCAAAAACCAAGAGTCAGATGCTCAATCGTCTGAGCCACCCAGGAGCCCCTGTGTGCAGAACTTCTACCTCTGGTCTCACATGGTCACTCATGTGGTATCTTCAGTGGGTGTATGTAGAATAAAGGACGGGCGTGGAAGTTGTGTACTCGGCTGCAGGAAGGGCTGTGATCTTGTCTTTCTGTTCACCCATTGAGAGAATCATCAGTTTGTCATGCTAGTTTGTTTTAATTATCTTAGAAATGAGTCACACTGAGTCAGCTTAAGGGGAGTGGTAGAAGCTTAAATATAAATCAGTCTGTTTGAACTGTGACCCCTTATGATCCTTTATGGAAACAATTCTGTGGGAAGTACTTTGATCTCTCATATCTGGTCCAAGTATTTTGTTTTGAAATTTTTTCAAAACCTAAAACAAAACAAAACAAAACCACCAAGCCTTCTTGAGGTTATGTTTACTTGCACTAGTTTTCATTGCTGTTTTTAATCTTTCTAAAATCAGCTTTCGCACATTTTGTACAAATCATGACAGAATGACATAAAGAGCAGAAACTGGACAGGTGTACATTTGAATAACATTTATAGTGTAGGTTTTTTTTTTTTTTCTCCCAACGCAGGTAGAAAAATAACCACATCCCATTTGTCTATCAAATTACTACCTCCTTTTGTATTTTGCAACTCATTTGAAAACTTGCCCACAGTTCAAATTTACCAACGTATACATCCTTAAGCATGGTCAGGGCAATGCTAACAGTCTTGCGCTTGAGCAAGTTAAACTATTTGATGTTGCATAAAGTTCCACCTAGTTTTCTTTGAACGACTCCGGGTTAACTGCCCTCAAGCGTAGCCATGTGCACAGTTGCACATGGGTGACTCTTCAAATTACACAATCCAGAGCTCAAAATTGGTGTTTTCTGCTAAGATGGGTAGAGAGGGGAAAGGGCCAGACACTCATATATGGAGCCATGTTTGTCCCCTGTATTTGTGTGATGCCACTAAACTGTAAGAAAGTGAGGACAAGTGTCCAGTCTACCAAGATTACCAAGGATCTATAGAATACCACTGGCCAGGCACTCTTGGGCTTTCTCATCTTCCCCCGTATGAAATAGCATCAGGCTGCCTTGCCGTTTTAGTTTCTGCTTTTTATTGATATTGGGCTTTTCCCATGACTACCACTCTTTCTGTGATAATAGCATCTGCTTCCTCTTGATAATTAATTTCCTAGCGATTGGGGAAGATGAGCAATTTTATCTACCGTAAGAATAACTTGAATCTGAGTCAGGACCTGAAGAGGTTTCCCTTGGGTTAGTTATTATTACCTGTAGTTCTTGGACTTTTCTTACATGTGTTTTAACTGGCTATGTTCTGGATAGTAGAGCTTACTGAAAAATTAACTAACAAATATGTTAAGATTACCTTATTTGCATTATAAGACTATTATGAGACTCAAATGACATAAAAGTTGTAAAAAGACATGAAAAGAATTCAAAGATCAAGGAGAAAATACTCGTGTTTGTCATATTCACCACCACTAGTCTGAATAAGCATTTTTTGTTATTGTTGCCACCAGTGACATTCGGATAGAAGCGATGTTACAAATGTCACATTTGGATAGAGCATATGCCACCACTTACAGTCTTTGGTCATAAGGAAAACAGACATTATGGAAGAGATTTTTAGTAAGAATAAGACCAATCCCAGCAATAACAGTATCCATTAACCTAGAGAAACCCAAGAATATCTTGGATCCCTAATGATTCTTCACCCATCATGAAATGGATACAGGTGACTCTGATGACGAAGACAATGAAAATGATAACTTTGAACACATACTGAGTGCTTACTCTGTATTGGGCACTATTTCAAGAATTTTACACAAATTAACCCACTTAATCTTCTCAGCAACCTCACACTGTTATCATCCCCATCTTATAGATAAGGACACAGAGAAGTGACGTGGCTAAGACCAGATAAATGAAGGAAAAGTGACTGTTGGTCCAGCTGGTAAAAATAAGTAGCTGCCCAGTTTTATGTATTGTAATTATTAGAATGCATTGAAAATTGTTAGTGTTTTATATATAAATCATGTTTTAGAAAAGAAGCTTCCCATACACTTTCCTCCTTTGTAAATTGCATTCTTAGTGGTAAAGAGCCTTAAAGGTAGGCACCGCATCTTATTGAGAGCCACTCTACCCAAAAATGCTTTGAATGCAATAGGAACTCAAAGCATGTTGGCAGAATGAACAGTTTTATATCTAAACTCTCCTAAGAGCATTGTAAGGTATCTGTGTAATGATGGATTATGTTGGTTTCCACTAATTCCATTTGCATACACACATTTTAGAGAATCTATATAACCTTGTGTTTCAGGGTTTCCTCAATTATTATATCAGATCTGCTCAAAATCAGTACAGGAATTATTTAAAATACCCACTGACCATCCCAGTATAAATATAATTTTAATAATATCATAAAATTGTTATAATTTAGGATATGCCTACCATAGTCCCTCAGTATCATATTAATACTCTAAATCTGAAAATCATCATAAGGCTTATTATGAATAGAATTTATGCCATTTACAAGATTTATTACTTTTCAGGGGAATGACACGCTGGGGGGAATTTGATGATCTTTACCGTATTAGTGAGCTGGACAGAACCCAGATTCCAGCATCTAAAGGAACAGATTCCCAAGAAGGTCAGTATCAAACTTTTATTAATGGAGAGACATTTTTTATGTAAATCATGAATCCTAAACGTTTCTCTGAAATTTAACAGTTTACACACCACTATTTAATAAAACTCTTATGTTAAAAATATCTCTTAGGATCATACTAATTTAAGTCACTACAGTGCTCATGTGATGTTTAAGAACTTTACTACATAAAAATACGATGATTTTTAAAATTACATCAAGTCACTTAGATTTACTAGGTTAGGGAAAGCTAATGGTTTGAATAAACTTGTATACATAAAATTCTTTAATATTTTTCCCAAAGTTGGGATTATTTATTATAGTCAGCAGCTTCTTATATCAGACCAAGCCCCTCACATTAAATTCTACATCTTTTTAGAAGCTGAATGTCTTAGTTAATGGATATTTGCGTGACAACACTTCCCAGAAAGAGGCAAATATACTGGAGTCAATATATTTAATTGACTCCAGTATACTGGAGTCAATATATTTAATTGACTCCAGTATATTGTTGTTGACAATTGTCAACAACATTGTAATTGTATATTGTACATTACATTGTATATTGTAATTGACTCCAGTTGTTTCAAGCATTTATTTGAAAAAGAGAAATCAACTTGAACATCAAATGAATTCATATCAAACATGACAAACCAATGGTAAATGGCAGCTCCTATGGCATGTGACATCAGTAGTCATAATGATGATGTGATAGTTGTATTATTACTAGCTGTCATTTACTGAGACTCTGATAAGTGTCTGGTATGATGTCATATATCTCACATAGATTTGGTTTTCATATAATATGTAGAGATACAAGGAGGAGCTGATGACTGGGGTTGGGAGCAGGGTTCATGTTTCTGGGGTGGCCATCTTACCAAGCTGACTTCAGACTGAAAATAGTACCCTGCCGACATTACCTTCATGAATGTACCAACAACTTCCAATGTTGAGTTATTTTTTCCAAACGTTTCTCAAGTCAGTCTTCTCTGCTGTCTCTGTAGCAACTCATATTCAATAACAACCATGATACTCCTTCCAGGATTCCCTTATTTTTGTGTGATGGCCCTTGGCATCTTTTATATTAGGGTCCTTCCAGTTAGCCCTTTGAAAACACTCATCTAAACCCAAGGGAATTCTGATTTCTAATTCTAAATTCTAAGGGAATTCTATGGTGTCTTGGCACCAGAGATACCACAAAAACCTAGTTGCAAAAGCACCAATGCTAGAAGAAAATGAAATCTCCCATGCCTATGGGTTGGTACTCTAATTACAATAGAAACTTCTTTAAAATCCCAAGGTTAAATGGAATACTATTTCTCACTGTTTGAAGCATTATAGTTCACTGCTTAGCTGCATATTTACTTATTAAATACATATACAAATTCACCCAAAGAGGTAGGCAGCTAAATGATATGGCCTTATAATCTTTATTCTTCCTAGATTATTTATCTTATCCCAGTAGCACTCTGAAGGCTTATGCAGATGAAGAGCCAGAATCCCCATTGCTCTATCGCACCATGAGTGAAGCAACCCTGGTGAGAAAAAGGATGAAGCCTCCAATGATGGACAGAAAAGACAGACAGAAGCATAGGGCCTCTATTAATGGGCACTTCTATAACCACGAAGTGAGTTTTGATTCCGCTAATGTCATTTGAAAATGATGTCTATTTTTTTTTAATTTTTTTTTAACATTTTATTTATTTTTGAGACAGGGAGAGACAGAGCATGAACAGGGGAGGGTCAGAGAGAGAGGGAGACACAGAATCTGAAACAGGCTCCGGGCTCCGAACTGTCAGCACAGAGCCCGACGTGGGGCTTGAACTCTCGGACCGCGAGATCATGACCTGAGCCGAAGTCGGCGGCTTAACCGACTGAGCCACCCAGGCGCCCCCGAAAATGATGTCTATTTTAACAACACCGCTCAATTCAACTTACAATTAAAATAGTACTAATAAAATAGTGGTAGTGTATTTAATATTTATTGGGTACTCTCTATGTGTTAGGTGTTAAACTGTTTTAAATTGGATTTTGATGGATTATTTCATCAATCACTAAAACAATTCTATGAAACAGGTACCATTATTTTCCCTACCTTACGTGAGTCAACTGAGGTTCACAGCGGTTAAGCAGTTTGTCTTAGGTCACACTACTTTTAAGTAGCAGATCGGAACTTGAAACCAGCTTTGTCTGACTCCAGAACCCGTTATTAACCACCGTGATGAATGAGCCCTATCTAAGTGGCAGGTTCTGTACCAAACACTGGGGATCTGAAGATGATTCCGATGATGCCTCTCCCAGCATGGAGCTCAGGTGTTGGGCAAAGAAATCAGTAATCGACAAATGGCATTAGAATAATGTAAATGCTACGATGGAGATTGGTTCAAAGTACATTTGAACATTAACATTTAAATAGAGGGGAAAAAACTCCATAGACCTATTATTCCAATAAATCAAACTTCTCATTTTGTCACATCTCCTTCCAGGTCTTGTACATATACACATATTTTTTTATGCAAGCATTTTTATGCAAGGATTAGTTGTTTATAATTTTTATTCTGATATAATTTTTATTCTGATTTTTCACTTAATGTGTTAAATTTATGTGTTTCTTTTCCACAGTTTTTGTAAGACATTTCACTTTGCCAGAGGTAGGCAATGTGTCGTCTTTTTTTTTTTTTTAACTCAAATTTTTCATTGTCTGGTACTTCAGCAATTATTCATCCATTCATTTAATAAATACTTAAAAAGCACTTGCTCTGTGCCAGGTACCATTCTGAGCCCTTTCATACAAAATGTTAACTCATTCATCGTAAGCTTTTTTCCTGTAGGGCTTTCTACCTTATTCCTTCCTCTACCCTTGGGAGCATATCCACGGTATGCCTTTGGAGACTGGTGGGGAGAAACTTCCTTCGTGAATTCTTTGTTCAAATTAGATATCTTCCTGGCTCAAGCATTTACCCTTAGCCATAAAGTAATTTTGACAATCCCCCATAGATGTGCAATGACCAATTGTCCTGGTTTCTATTTCTCAGAATCACGCCGTGTCATCATCTTGTGGGGTGATTTGTGTTAAAGAAGGCTGTGAAAGCCACATTGTTCCAAATGAGCGGCTTCCAGATGGGACCCCTGTACTAAGAATGAAATTGGCACTAAGTTGGCAGCATGGTGTAGTGGCTAAATGCTTGGGTGCCGGAGCTTGACAACCTGATTTCAAATTCTTGCTGAGCAAAGTTTAAAGCTACCTCCATCTCTTAGCCTTTATCATTCCTACTTTACAAGGTTGTTGATGGGACTAAATGGAATAAGGGGAGCTAAGCACTTAGCACAGCGTCTGGCACAAAGGAAGAACTCAATTTACATTAGCTTTATTGTCGTTTGTTCAAAGAGATCAAGCTACACATATTTCATACAGATGCCAGTCGCTGCATTGTAATAACTAGCAGGAAAAAAAAAAACCAAAAAACATTCTATCCATGGATGGGCAGTGAGAGGCATCTAGGAGTTTAAGTTGATAGAGTCATAAGATGTGTTTTTATATCATGATACCCCACGATAACACCAATATTGTTAGGACACGAATAACACTCATTTCAGAGGGTTAGATTATGATATTGTATATAAGTTATGACTATTGACTTGACCTGTGGTATATTTCTATCCGTGCACTAAGGATAGATGATTTTATTTCATTATGTGTTTTGGCCAACAAAACTAATCTAAAACTCTGAAAAACATGATTCCAAATTCATTGTATGTTGGTACTTTAGATGGGCTCTTGGGGTCATCTAGTCCCACTCTCTTATTTTACAAATGAAATCCTTGAGGCCTCTTTAGGCCTCAATGTGAAGTGAGTTGACGAAGTTGGAGTTAGAAGACACTATGATCCAGTTCTCCTAAATCCTAATCTAGTGCCGTTGCCAAACTCCATAAAGATTCTTCTTATAAACAACATCAAGCCACATATGTAACATATCCTTGCCTTAGTGCCAGATGAACGTATGGCTCTCCAGGGCTCCACAGAACTCATAAGCACTGGTCTTATGTGTCACAGAGTGATTCATCAATGCCTCACAATGTCCACGAACATTGAATTTTCTCATACTTAGCAAGAGTTTATTCCAGACAGCCTCCATATATCTACTTTGAAAAATTATTTCCATATCCATATTTCTACTCACACAAGTGCTGTGCATATATGCACTTTAATGTTTATTTTGACATTTATTTACTGGTTTCCCAATATAAGGCTCATCTATCTAACAGTCCATTGAGCCACCCAGAACCCACCCATCTCCATGTCTGCTGAACCCACCACCCCCCTCTTCTAGAGTCTTGGAACACTATTAATATTACGTTTTATTTGTTCTTAGTTATAGTTAATTTATTTTAAATATTTGAACCACATTGAAGAATGGTATGATTATCTAGTGAAAATGTTTTGAACATCCTCAAATGATGTCTTACCTAACTTAATTCTAGAAACAATGTAAAGTTGCTTAAAAGGATGCATAGTATCCAACAACAAAGAAAGCAAACACAAGAAAACAAAATTTTTAAATTGGTGATTTGTGATTTTTCTTTCTTTGCCCATAAGAAGGCCAGTTTCACCAGATGCTCAATATCACTCGTCATTGGGGAAATACAAATCAAAACCACATTGAGATACCCCCTCACACTGGTCAGAGTGACTAAAATTAACAACTCAGGAAACAACAGATGCTGGCGAGGATGTGGAGAAACGGGAACCGTCTTGCACTGTTGGTGGCAATGCAACCTGGTGCAGCTGCTCTGGAAAACAGTGCGAAGGTTCCTCAAAAAATTAAAAATAGAACTACCTTACAACCCAACAATAGCACTACTAGGAATTCATCCAAAGGATACAGGAGTGCTGATTCACAGGGGCACATGTACCCCAATGTTCATAGCAATGCTTTCAACAATAGACAAATTATGGAAAGAGCCCAAACTTCCATTAACTGATGAATGGATAAAGATGTTGTACACACACACACACACACACACATACACACACAAACACACAATGGAATACTACTCATCAATCAAAAAGAATGAACTGGAGGATATTATGCTAAGTGAAATAAGTCAGTCAGAAAAAGACAGATATCATATGTTTCACTCTCAATTTGAGAAACTTAGATGGCCATAAAAGGAAGGGAAGGAAAAGTAAGTTACAGAGAGGGAGGCAAACCAAAGAGACTCTTCTGTAGGGTGGTCGGGGTGAGGGGTGGCCAAGACTACACTGTGTACACTGTGTGTTAGCTAACTTGACAATAAAGTATTAAAATATAATATAATATAATATAATATAATATAATATAATATAATATAATATAATATAATATTGGGCTCCTCAAAAAAGAAGTAGGAGAAGGAGAAGGAGGCCAGTTTCACCATATTGATTCTTGTTAGTTTGATGTAAGTTTAAGAATTTCCATGGCAATATTTTGTTGTTGTTGTTTCTAGACATCAATTTTCACTCCAGCCTTTGGATCAGAAACTAAAGTCAGAATAAACAGTAATATGAGAACTGAAGAAGTAATTGAGCAACTTCTCCAAAAATTTAAGGTAATCTTTATCACTAAACTGAGCTATAACTGTCTTGTATATAAGTTAACTATAGGTACATAAATGTACTCTTCTGAAAAAGACCTATGAACATGTACATCTAAATTAAATGGTTCGTTTCCGAAGAATTCTTTCTTACAAATAACACCTTTTCATAATTGGGCCTTGAGAGATTATATTATTCTCTCAACAGGGAGCAGAAAAGGATTCTTGTCTAAAAGTGTATAACAAAACTGAGGAAAAAGATACAGATTTGGGGTCTGGCTGGCTCAGAAAACATCTGCCAATGACCAATCAATCAAATATGAAAGAATTCATGTCTGCTTATTTTTTTTTCCATTGACAGATTGAAAATAGTGCCCAGGATTTCGCACTTTACATTATTTTTGCAACAGGAGGTAAGTGTGATGCCTCTTTTTACACGATTCCAGTATGTTATAGTTTTCTGCCCACAGGGGAAGCCCAAGAGCAGCTAACCCTCTTTCTGTGGAAGAAAGGGAAGGAAGGGAAGAAGAAGAAAAGTGGGGAGGGTATTTTAGAAGGTTATTCATATTGCACAGTTTCAGAGGAAGATAACCTACGAATAAGATATCCTAGAAGAGTGTATAATACAAAAGAGTTTGCTT